AATCGAAAGCTTGGATAATTGGCATCTAGTTCTTTGGACGCCGTCTTCGATTAGTGAGAATGGAACAATATTTGCTGATTTCTGTAAAATGACCTTCTATGCTGTACGCAAATTTAAGCTCTCTAGATGATGAGAGAAACATATTTTTATTCTCCTAGTTCACAAAGTTGGAAAATGTCATAAAAATCGTTTTGGATTAACATCCTGGGGATGAAACTATGTTTATGCAATGGATTTTAATTGCCAGTGGATTACGTGGTTATACGAATAGGCTTTGGCAAAGGCAATTTTTAAGTAATTTAAGACCGCTATTTGTTAGAAGACGTCAAACATTTGTTTTAAAGAATAGCTCAAACCGAATACTTGGGCTGCAGTGCGTATTTGGTTATCCTAATTTGCTTTTATAAACTAAAATGGGCGTGTTAATTTAGTTCTATATTATAGAAAACTAGCTGATACTACTCATATGAACTACCGTGATCATTGGCCCATTATTTGTAGGAGTCGCGGTTAATGAAGTTAAGTACCGTAATGTACGCGGATAAGAAAAATTAAAACCTTCGAGCATTTCGATAAGAGTTTGCGCATACAGACTTTTCTGTGCCTTTAGAACTTTTACTGGCTGTTGCCGGATAATAAACAGTGTTTTGGAGTTGACGCTGCCATCCTGTGTTTTTCACATATTTTATAATTTCGGTTATCCTTTATAGATCAATGCTTAAATATAACGGCGTTTGTGCATGATACTGTACTATAGAAATGTTTGTTGTTTTGTACCATAGAGGTTGAGTACGTCCAAAAATTGCCGCAGTCAACTGTTAAGGGTTCATTATTAAGCAGAAGTAAAAAAAATTAGCCATTTGTAGACATCCGACGTAAGGCACTAGTGTACTTAGTCGGAAGTTTGAAAATAGCTATTAGTTCCAGGAGCTTTATCAAGCCAGCTGAGAAAAGGAGACGACTGTGTTCCATTCGCTTTTCTTAGCCTGAAATCTCTGTAACCTGTTAACTGATGATCTTCTATGCAATCTTTCGAATTCTACATAATGTGGACGTAAAATCTCAGTTAATGCCAACAAAGGTAACTCCAATAACCTGTGTTTGTTGTCTGCCCTTCCCAAGGACTCGATATCAAGTAGCTTAATTATTACTCTTCTGTCTTTCCTGTCATGGAACTCACACTAAATAGAAGTTGCATACCAGTAACGCGTTCTCTTCGATCTATATTTTTTTGACAAATAAAATGTTACTTTTATTCGCTCAGTTCCTCGAAGTTTGCGTGACAGGAAAATTGCTCACATCTGTGCATTGATGACACCCTAATTTAAGCGTTTG